AGCCACAAGCATCCCTGGCTTTGTATTTGTTCAAGTTGGTGATCCTTATGGTGATCACAATTGCTGGGAGAGGCCTGAAGACATGGACACACCTAGAATCCCTTATGCAGCTAGTAAACAGTTTCCAGGCTCAGAGGTGTCAGCTGAGATAGCAGCTGCACTTGCAGCATCTTCCATGGTGTTTAGGCCTCGCAATCCTGCATATTCTGCCAGGCTTCTCAAAAGAGCTGCAATGGTAAACGAGATCGATTCGTATTTCATATGTACTTTGTTTTTAAACTATCGGCTAAACATACTTAATCACTAATAAAAAAAATGGATTAGGTGTTTCAATTTGCAGATGCTAACCGTGGTTCTTACAACGATACCCTGGGACCGTGGGTGTGCCCATTTTACTGCGATTTCAGTGGCTACGAGGTACTCATCAGAACATTCAGAACTTGTCAATATGAATTACAGTAAATCTCTGCTTCCGTTGCAAAATCATATTCTCAAATTAAGTATGATTATCAATGATGATGTCTTTACAGGATGAATTGATCTGGGGAGCAGCATGGCTATATAGGGCGACCAAAGCACCTAATTACTGGAGTTATGTTGTGCAAAACATAAGCCATTTGGAAAAAAAAGTTGCCAAACATACTGATCGAGTCGGCTATGGCGGTGGTAGCTTCGCTGAATTCGGATGGGATACTAAGAATGCTGGTATTAACATACTTGTTTCAAAGGTGACTATCGAACTTGATTGCAGCATCTCTGTTCGTTGTTATAATATGTTTCTCTCTAAATACTTCTTGTTGCTTTCTTTACAGTTGTTGCTTTCAAGCAAGACTTCTGATGTAGGTCCATTCATTCCCAATGCAGACAAGTTTGTTTGCACTGTGTTGCCCGAATCACCTACTGTCTCAGTCTCATACTCTCCAGGTAGCCTTAATTTGTTCATGAATTTCTTTAGCAATTCATACTTCAAAGGCATTTCGTTTCTGTGATGGAACAGTAAACAATTCAAATCGGTTCCAAAATTCTTTTCAGGTGGACTTCTGTTCAAACCAGGAGGAAGTAACTTGCAACATGCCACAGCTTTATCCTTTCTTCTTCTTGCTTATGCTCGTTATTTGAATCAATCCAATAGAGAAATTCATTGCGGTAATGTTGTTGCCACTCCTGCTAGACTTATTCAATTCGCAAGAGGGCAGGTAGGCCTACATCCTTTCTCCATCCTTGGTTAAGTCATCAATCTTGTCACCGGTCTTGTACATTAGCTAAGGAAATGTTACAAAATGGTAATCTACGCAGGTGGATTACATACTGGGAACTAATCCATTGAAGATGTCATACATGGTTGGATATGGCAGCAAATTCCCTCGGAAGATACACCACCGCGGCTCGTCTCTGCCTTCTGTTGATCAACACCCTGCCAGGATCAATTGTCAAGGTGGAACTCCATACTTCCAAAGCAATGATCCTAATCCTAACCTGCTAATAGGAGCTGTTGTTGGTGGACCTGATCAAGGGGATTCCTACTCTGATTCTAGAGCAGATTTTGTACACACAGAGCCAACCACATATATTAATGCACCTCTTGTTGGCCTCTTGGCTTACTTCAGATCACATCCGCCCTTGTAGAATCCCCCCCCCCCCCCCCCCCCCTCCCCCCCCCCCAACCCCCCCCCCCCCCCCATCCTGCTGATATTCTGTTCCTAATGTTTTCTTTTCTCCTTAAAGGAGAAGAAAGGGATTAATTACAATTACAATTACAAGTATAATTATATTCTTTGCCAATGAGTTGGTAGAGCAGTACAGAAATATACAACCACAAAATGGGGGTTAATATACTCTATATTATTATTATTATTATATCTCCAAATGCGATAAGATTCATATTCTATAGTTTGAAAACTTTTCCTTAAAACTAATGCCATGTTAATTAGTAAAACACTCAAGTTCTCCTAGCATTATCCTAAAATTAACAATAAAACAGAGGGATTTTCTAAGCTCGCTCACCGCACCACCCAACTCCTCTGCACCATCTTTCATGGCGGAGACCTCCCTAGGCTTCATGCCATGGGCTTGAGAGATCGTCGAAACAAATGTTAGACATGTTGTAGTGCTCGCTCGTATTTACATTTTCTCTTCAATCCAAGCAATGGCTCGTTTATAAATCTCTTGTTACTGGTCAATTTTTCGAATTTATCTAATATCAGTTATTATTTTAATATATTTTTAAATAAAAAATATTTTAAAAAATATATGTTTCATTTATTACTGACAAGATTAAGCACAGGGTCTCTAGTTTTTTTCCCAAATCCGCTAACGAAGGCCGATGTAAACTTCATGGACGCTAGCTAACAAGGAAGTTATCTCACATGTTGAGAAAATCCTAGAATTTATTCTCCTCCCTATCTTTAGTTCTACATATTTTATTTAATTTCTGTAAGAGTTTCTCCAGTAATACTTTATACTACCTTAAATATTAAGAGAGCCTTCGAAGAAGTGTTTAGCATTACATTTTGGAAATATTTTTGAAATATTTGAATTTTTTTATTTTTGTCTTTACTTTAAATTAATATTTTTTTATATTTTTAGATTATTTAGACATGTTGATATCAAAAAATATTATTTTAATTTATTTTTTAAAAAATAATTCCTCCCATTCTTCATACACACATTACTTAGTTACTTTACCCTTCTTTTTTTTTTTATTACTTTCTAACTCCAACCCGCACTTCTCTCAACTCATCACTATTTATCTCTCTTTCGTAATTTTCGCTTTTTAAATTAGCACCTCTTCCCTTTTACTTTCTAACTAAGCATGCTTAAGTTGACTTCTTTGCACTAATTTTCTAGGGGATTTAAATGGTCTGAGCATACATGTTTTAGGTGAGAATATAGACTTTATTTGATAACGTAGTTGAAACACTAATTTTTTAAATTTTAATTTTTAACATGAAGAAAAAAAAATGTTGAAGGCATGCTGAAGAAGGACATTATTTAAAAGAATGCACCAAAATGATGTCATTATGGTGCTTCTTTTTTTTTAATTTCTTTTTTGAATTAAAGCATGAAACAACTTCATTTTGCCTAGAAGACTCCATTTCATTTAATTGGAATTTCATATGTGCACATTGATTCCTCAGTTTTAACACCTTTTTGAATTTTATCCTTGGCTTTATTATTGTTTTTTACCAATTCCAGCCTTTTTTCTTAATATTTCTTTCAATTTTGTCCATGGTTGCATTTCAAATGATCCCTTGATATTGATGCTTTTTCCAGCTTAGTAATTGGTTTTACAATTCAATCTTTTATCCAATTCCAACCCTTTCTCTTAATTTCTTCTCAATTTCATCCCTCATTACATTAAAATAGTCCCTCAATATTGGTGGATTTTCCAACTTGGTCCCTGACTTTCTAATTTTTAATTATTTAGCCGATTTCAATTATTTTCTCAATTTTTCTTCACAATTTCACCCATAATTGTATTTTATTCTTCTTTTATTTTTTAAATTAAATTTCTTGAATTTTTTGAAATATATTTTTTGAAGTATTTATTTATTTATGAAACAAATTATTTTTTCCTGTTTTTTTTAATATTTCAGACTCTTTGTTGGATATTTGAGAGGGGTTAAAAATTAGATTATGAAAAACTATTCATAACAATTAACTACTAGAAATCAATGAGCTCTGTACATATTCTCTATATCCTCCAACCAAAAATACAGAAATTAGTGAGCTTTAATACACATCATGTACATCCTCTAGTAAAAACAAATAAAATATTTTTGAGTTTTGATACTAACTAATGCAAATGGAAATGAAAATAAAATATTTTGAGTTTTGATACTAATAATGCAAATGAAAATGAAGTATAACAATGTTTATTACAAGTAAAAGCCCTCAAGAACAAAGAACACAATTTGTATTCATCAAAGTCTCCACTTTTCAAAATATTACAATCCTTTTATATAGAAATAAAATTAGAAAACCCTAGTAATATTAAATAAAAAAATAGAGTGAAAAAACTATTCCATTTAAATAGAAAAAAAAACTAAACAAGTATAATAGCACTGAAGAGGAAAACATCAAATTAAATAAAGAAAATAATTTTTTTTAAAAAAAAAGCTCATGCATTAATATCTATATGATATAAATGTGTGTGTATTATGTGTGATAATATCCATATATTTTGCAGTGCATTATGAGTAATTAATAACATCCTATTAATTAGTCATAGGATGCACATTGAACAAAAATACACATACTAATATAAGAAAAAATAATAAAATTTATGACCCACTAAAAATAATAAGAATATTTTAACTTAGAATTTTTTTTCTCCCATTTATTTCTATTTAATTATTTCTTAAAAAACAATTAATACGAGCTTACTAATTATTTTTAATATAATATAAAATTACTTCCCATTTAAATCTGTACATGAAATTGTTACCCGTACGCTGCACTAGATAATCCTCCTATGACAGATAGACAAGCAATGTGATTAGAATCTTCTCTGGAACGTATCCGTCATGTCAAAATATCCATAAAGAGATTTCGAATGGTCCATATATTAGTAGATATATATGACATTTTTTTTTTATGTATATATGGTAAATCAACAAATGCAGAAACAATAAAGGGAACTGGAACTGGAAACAAATCATCCTGCAACTTCCTTTTTAGAAACATCAATAAAATAAAGTAAAAAGTATCAAGCAAAGACGGTAATAAAATGACAACAAAACCATATGATGCACTGAACTTAACTAAACCTTAGTAATTAATTAGGCTTTAAAAATATAATTAACAACAAAACCATAGTGGGAATAGAGTTAATGCTTTCCTAACAAGCTTATACCGAGATTACATCACAATGGTAACAGAACACACGGTTTCCTCATCAGCATTCAGCCCTTAATTTATATATATTAGTGCATCGAGAGTTGACAATTATGCCTGTTAAATTGATAGGTAGTAGAGGAGAATTGGCATTGAGAGAAAGAATGGGTGGCAAGAGCATGATGGATATGTCTGTACTAATGTTGTTGTTAGGGGTCACGGTGGTGACAGAAGCCATGTCACATGATTATGGAGATGCGTTGACAAAAAGCATCTTGTTTTTCGAAGGGCAGAGATCAGGGAAGTTGCCTTCTAATCAAAGGATGAATTGGAGGAAGGATTCTGCCCTTAGAGATGGATCTGATATTGGTGTAAGTGGCTATGTCTTTCCATGCATATTCAAGCATGCAGTTCACAAATTTGCTCAATGGTTTTGTATGCTTGACTTACAAATAAACATCTGATTTGCTTTTGTACTTTGCTAAATAGTGGTGTCAATTTTATTTTATTTTTGTAAATTTGTTCATTGTCATTTCATGTTTTTTATTTTTAAAATTTATTTTGATTCAATATATCAAAACGGTAAAAAAACACACAAAAATAATTTTAAACAAGTCTTTTTTATTTGAAAAGCCAGAAATGCTAAACACGTTAGACCTAGCTCCATTTTCAATTATGTTAGTATTTTTTTTTAATGATGTGTCTTTTTATGATTAATGCGTTCCGATCAATCTTTTTTATAACTTTCTTTATATCATATCATTTAGTACATAAATTTTAATAAAAATTGAAGTACAATGTTTTCATTTTCGCAAGAAATACTGCTTGTTTTATTTAATAAATTATGGACGCACAAACACAATACATAATAAAGTCCAACCAACTACCCGAAATTTAACACATTTATGCCGGCCCGATTGAAATCTATATATATAGTTATGTGCGTACTGTTGACAAGAAACTATGATGTTCTTAACATTCTTGTAGATGGACATGGTTGGTGGGTACTATGATGCTGGTGACAACGTAAAATTCCATTTTCCAATGGCATTCACAACAACGTTGTTGGCGTGGAGTATAGTAGAGTTTGGTGAATCGATGGGCTCAGATTTGGAACATGCGTTAGATGCTCTACGATGGGGAACAGACTATTTCCTGAAGGCCACAAGAAGACCTGGCATGGTTGTTGCCCAAGTCGGTGATCCCATCAGCGACCACACATGTTGGGAGAGACCTGAAGACATGGACACTCTCAGAACTACTTACGTTGTTAATCAAACCCATCCTGGATCAGAAGTTTCAGCCGAGATTGCAGCTGCTCTAGCTGCCTCTTCTATCGCGTTCAAGGACAAAGACAAACGGTATTCTAGTGTACTTCTCCAGAGGGCATCCCAGGTAATTGATAGTAGCTAATTCTATAATGTTAATAACAATTGTGGGTGTCAAAATTGTTAAATTATAAGGCAATGCACTTTTGATATCTAATTAATTTCTTCTCTCTTCTAATTATGCTATACAATGTCTTGATAATCTTTCAGGTCTTCGACTTTGCAAACAATTATCAAGGATCTTACGATGAAAGTATCGGACAAGGGGCATGCCCATTTTATTGCGATATCAATGGCTACCATGTATGTATTTGATCACAATATTAACGAAAGATATGGAGTTGCTAAGATTTTATAAACTATAGTACAATATTGGTAATGATCCATCTATCCAATATCTAAAACTATCATATATACATGATGAATACATTTGTCTTACAGGATGAACTGATCTGGGGAGCAGCATGGTTATCCAAGGCAACTCAGGACCCCAAGTACTGGGATTATGTTGTAAAGAACATGGCAACTCTAGGAGGCAGTATTTTTGAGTTCGGATGGGATTCAAAACAAAGTGGGATTAACATATTTGTTTCTCCAGTAATCACTCAACTCCATTTTTCTCTTCTAATTATCATTCGTGAATATTTTTAGCTTAATCTAAGATTTATTTCGATCCACAGAAGGTGATGAACTCCTCTGGTAGTTCCTTCGTTACCAATGCTGACAGTTTCGTGTGTTCCTTGTTGCCTGAGTCACCTACCAAATCAGTCACATACTCCCCAGGTAGCATTTTCTGACATCGATCTTTCTGGATAGCTTGATTTACCCCATATCTTGCCAACTTTTCGGTAATGATGAATTTCTTATGTCGATCAGGCGGGCTTATGTTCAAACCAGGAGGATGTAACTTGCAACATGCAACGGCTTTATCATTTCTTCTTATTGTTTACTCTCGCTATTTACAAGTTGCCAACCGATCAGTTCATTGCGGTTCTGTGGTTACCACCCCGTCGAGACTCGTCGAGGTCGCCAAAACCCAGGTTTTAAATATCTTATCGAGTCCACTTCTAGCCCATTGAGAAAATCATGGTCATTAAAATTAAGAAAAAAAAAGAAGTAATGGCGCATTGCTTGATGCAGGTGGATTACATACTAGGAAGCAATCCATTAGGGATGTCGTACATGGTTGGATATGGCCCAAAATTCCCACAGAGAATTCATCACAGAGGATCGAGCCTGCCTTCCATGTCTGCTTTCCATGCGCATATTGGATGTCATGATGGCAACAGCTATTTGGTGACCAAAATGCCTAACCGGAACGTCCTTGTAGGGGCCATTGTTGGAGGACCAGACAACAACGATCAATTTCTTGATAGTCGTCTCAATGCTAGTCAATCAGAACCAACAACGTACATCAATGCACCTTTGGTTGGAGCCTTGGCTTTCTTCAAAGGTGGAAAATAAAACTTTTCATTTTTTTCATTTTGTTATTAGTAAGGTTTTGGGATACAAGGGATAAAAATAACTGTATCTCATGTTTATTTCTTTCTTCATGATTTTTTTTTTATTATAAGATAGTAACTAAATGCTACTTAATAATATAATAATTAAATAATTTTATTGGAAAAATATCATATAACATGTCTTCATATGCCAATTATTTTTTAATTATATTTTATATTTATTCAAATACTAAATTATTCATCAGCTTATATAATAGTAACTAATTAAGTATTGTTTATAAACACAGGGACTAAGTTATAATTGCCTCTATTCCACCTGTGGTGGGTTTTTCAGCTAAAAAGTAAAAGTTTATGAGGTCAAAATCAGAAATCTCAAATTTATAGGATTATTTATAAAAAAACACAACAACAAATTAAATCTCCTCCATTTCTTAGCCCAAATATTATTAATTTTGAACAATCAAACTCTCCCGTATCCCCAGCCAGTGAACCAAAGAAAGAAGAAAAGATGCAGCAGAGTAGCAAGGACAGGGGCGGAATAAAAAATTAAGAATTAGGGGTGTGATTTTTCAGAATTTAGAGGGGCTAACTAAGGGGTGCAAGTTATTAAAAGATTAAACCAAGGATCTTAACAAAATTTTAAACTTACAGGTGCCGTGGTACCTACAACTCATATGTTGTAGGTCCGCCCTAAACAGAGAGGGCTTTTTTTAGTGTTCATGTAGACTTATTATTATTTCTTTGTTCCTTCTTATCATTTTCCTGCTTTGGCCTAAGCTTTTGCTTGGGTTTTTTTGTACTCTCCTCCTTGTATGCTTTTGTTAGAAGTATCCTTCGAACTGTTGAAAAAAACCAAAATAAGAAGAAGAAAACCGGAAAAGGAGGCAAGATATATGGGTTTTTACTAGCTTTGATGACTTTTGATGTTACCAGCTATCATCTTAGAAGACCGAATTTTTCCTTCTTTTGTATGCATGTGAACCTGTAGCAGCCCTCGATCAAATGGATTGGTGGTCCCTTTTGCATCAATTTCTCACATTATATGTTTTGATTTTTAACAAACTCAATTTAGTGTTATCTGTCGTTTTGGATTTGGTATAGAGTCATCAGAATCACTTGACTAAGGTGGATTGTATTTTTATCAGATTTAACCAGATACATATTAAAACCAACACAGTTCTGGATCTGAGGTGAGCGAAGGATTTCTCGTTTCATCAACTAATTTCACACTCAACCCAACATTTCTGGGTCTGAGGCATAATAGTTGATCAAAGCCAAAGCATTGCTAGTCAACCGCGCTATATTCACAATCCTTCCCCTCACAGAAGTCTTCAAATTCCCATTCATGGCATTTCCTGCGAACCCATCACTGCACGTGTTCTCGTCAGTCAAAGCAGCACTAACCCAAGTTTGTACGTCATCAATCATCGACTGAAAGTTGGACTGTCTAGCATGACTCATCTCATCCATGGATTTTCCAAGCTCGTTCACCGCGTCACTCAACTCCTCTACACAATCTTTCATGGCGGACACCTCCCTAGGCTTCATGCCATGGGTTTGAGAGAGCGTCGATATCGTGGTTGAAGTTGATTTAGCTGATGACAGTGTCACGTTAAGGGCTGCATTGGCTAGGAGCTTAGGGCTTGTTTGGATCGTGCTTGAATGGATAGAGAGGGAAGTATAGCAAAGTCTTGGATAAGTTGCTGTACTACAAGATGTTCTTATGAATTCTGTGCTGGATTTTGTGGTGACTCTAGCAGCTGAGCTAGAGTTTAAGTATGAACTAATGGCAACAAGAAGTAGAAGGAATTCAGCTAAAGAATTGGAGGATAAAGCTGCCATAGCTAACTTCTCTTTATCTGTTTCTCAATAAGGAGTTAATTGCATATTGATGATGAAAACAGGGAAGGAAGCCTCCCAATTTATACGACTACAAAGGTAGTTTATGGGGGTGAGAATGGAATTTAAAATTAAATTATCATTTGATTAATGGATATTTTATATGGTTTTTATTTGATTCATAGTAATATATTTTGGTTGCATATGAACAACTTGAAGTAGTTAACAGAATACCTTTTTTTTTTTTTTATGAAGGACAAAAGCTTTATGATTCTGCTTCTTTAAGACACCAATCTCAGGATTTTTCTACAGTGATTGACATTATTGAACAACATTATTTATTTAGTGCATCCATTTCTCGCATAGGTATAGAATTTACCTCTAATGGATGTAGCCGCGAATGCTGCAGCTTTCTTTTCTATGCTGAATAGCATGGGGTTAAGGCTATTGGTTTTATGATTTTTTATATATAATCTCGATGATAATTATGCTATTTTTTTTCATGAAACAAAACCTAAAACTTTTAATTATAGTTTTAGGATTTGATTAACCCGAAGCTAAAATCAAGCCGGAATGAAATAAAATAAAAAACTCAGTGTAAGCCGGTAATTTATTTAATCCAACAAGATTCAGTTAAGATTTAATTATAAATTTATTAATTTTTATTCTTTTATTAAAAAAATATCATTTAAATTTAAAAAAAATTAACTTAACCAACTTGTTAATCTAATCAACACCTGGAACTTAAACCAGGCACGCCACTGAAATAGGTCTTAAAACTATATGCCTGTAACAGTAGGCAAGGTATTCGTTATAAACAGTGATCGCAAGTAAAATCAACTGTCAAATTATACAAAATCTATCACCAATTATTAGAAGGAAAAATTGCAACTGTCAGTGAAGCGTCCACTCTCAACTTAGAAGACATAACTCAGAGAACCCTGCATAATTTCATGAGGCTGATGCAGCACAACTTGGTGAGAATGAATTAATTAGATCACATAGCATAATTTAAGCAATAAACTAACTTAAGGTTGGCAAGAGGTTGCTACTGCATACATTCATCCAATTTATTTCTTCTTGTTAAGATCTCTCTTTCAGTTGCTGTTGTTATTTCTAAAGATTATTGCATGCTTGGTCTAAAGTTTCCAAAAAATATCCAAATGTAATTGATGTATAATAAATATTTGTGGTTGATCGAGGTGGTCATTGTTATAGGTCTAGATATTTAGAGTCTGCTAACATGCTTAATTAAAACGACGGCAACTATGTGGAGGATATATTTTACATGTTCATAATGAGACCACAAAACAAATAATTATGACATAATGATAATAATTTAACCCACTAGTGATGTAGGACATGAGGAAGAGGTAGCTGTGTGCAGGCATAGGGATCAGACAGTAGAAAGTCAATACTGTTAGTTAAGTTTAATTGTTAGTTCTCAGTCCTTTTATGATTCTATTTTCTATTTTTATTTATCGTTAGTTATTAGTGTTGGAAACAAATCAACTTGTTTGATATTAATTTCCCAATCCTTTTAGGATTCTATTTTCTAGTTTCGTTTCTTTTAAAAGCAGAGTCAAGATTATTGTTTTGGCATTATTATTCAATCATCAATAAAATTGTTCTTTGAACACAAGTTCTCTCGTGGATTCAAGATTATTTAGCTTCCGCTACGTCAAGTGGTATCAGAGCCTACGCTCTCAGCAAAATTTCTGATGGCACGCGATGATATTGGGAGTAGTCGTTCGACTGACGAGGATCAGTGAATAAGGGCAATAGCAACCGGGGTTGTTACTGCCGCCATCAATGACATACGTCCACTATTCGATGGGGTTCCATTACTGCAAGCTCAACTTGAGGAGGTTCTTCAAAGATTAGAAGCGTTGTCTCCTAATGGCAACAGGGTAGACGACTAACGACGTGGAGGGGCAGCTGAGATCACTCGTGGCCCGACGTCCTTGACCCGTAATCCTGAAAACATACCACAATACCAAAACACACAATCATTACCTGTGATGTCGTCAACAAACTCTCAATTTATTGAGTTAGAAGATCGGGCTCCAAGGAGAACCCAAGGTGACCGAGATTATAAGCTCAATGTGGAGATGCCAACCTTCAAAGGAACACAAAACGTGGATGAGTTTTTCTCTTGGATCGACGAGGTTGAGACGGGGTTTGGGGTGATGGACTGCTCTGAAGATCGAAAACTCAAAGTTGTGGCCAATAAACTAAAAGGATCAGCTGCAGCTTATTGGAAGTATTTAAAAAACAAGCGAGTGCTAGACGGAAAACCTCCGATTGCAACGTGGGAGAAGATGAAGAGCAAATTCATGGGTAAATTCTTACCTCCTGATTATGAGCAACGTTTATACGTTCAATTACAGAATTGCAGACAGGGGAATCGGACTGTGGAAGAGTACATCGACGAGTTCATTCGATTAAATTCACGAAACTTGCTACCAGACAATGAAAACATGCAAATCGCAAGGTTTAGAGGAGGTTTGAAACGGGACATACAAGACCAAATGAAGATGCTTAATACATTCACCCTCGGACAAGCTTTTGATTTGGCACGAAAGGCTGAAGAACCAATCCGAGCACCATCTGTACGACCCAGGTTTACAAACCAACAGTATCATGCAGGACCAAGCAGAGTGACACCCACAACTGAACCAGCCAATGAGATCGTGGCTACTGAAAATCGACCAAGAAGAGCTGCACCACAGCAAGCACCGAACCCCTATGCTAGACCAGCGCCCTCACTATGTTACAGATGTCATCAACCAGGACACCGTTCAAATCAATGTCCGCAAAGACCTGCTGTCAATTTTGTGGAAGGTGATTATGAAGTATAAGGGGACGATGACCATGACACAGAGGTGGTCGATGGAATTAAGGAGGGTGAGGAGGACGACTTCATTGGAATGGTGATGCACCAACCGTGTGATATTCAAGCAAAAAAAGGTGGGAACGAAAAGTTCAATTGCATTGTTCAAAGGGTCTTCTTGACACCTAAAAGAGGACCCGAGATTTCAACTCGCCATCAAGTTTTCCGGACCAATGCCATTATCAATGGAGTGATAGCGAGGGTAGTAATCGACACAGGAAGTTCTGAGAACTTGGTGTCCCAAGAACTGGTTCGAAGGGTGAAACTGA